TGAATTTCATATTTAAATATTGTTAAATTTAATAATTATAATATGAAATTAATGTAATATATTAATTATAATATAAGTGAAAATAAAGAATATGTGTTTAAAATATTAGTATGTATAATTTTTTTTATTAGACATTTTGAAACATCAGCAACAAAAGTTAAGTTGCTGAAAGCATGGAGGATTACTATTCAACTCACTATCAGCAACAAGGAGTATGTTGCTGATAGTACACCAATAATCACCATCAACTAGTCCCTCCTAACTTTTAGCAACACAAGCCATGTTGCTGAAAATGAGGCCAAATTTCGGTCATCGGTTTACCACTAATTTTTAGTAGTTTACCACTAATTTTCAACAACATGAGCCATGTTGTTGAAACCCCATCTTCAGTAACGTGGCTTATGTTGCTGAAGAGGGTGAGGAAATTCACCTCCCCTCCCCACCGGATTCCGGTGAAAATTTTCAGCAACATAAGTTATGTTGCTGATACTTTTTTTTCAGCAACATAGCTTATGTTGCTGATATATTAGCAACATGATTTTGGTTGGTAATGTATTACCCACCAAACCTTCTCCAACAAAACTTTTAGCAACCAAACCCATGTTGCTGAAGGACTTTCAGCAACATGGAAAGCACTTTTAGTAACATGCTTCCATGTTGCTGAAAGCTTGAATTTTAGTAGTGACAGAAAAAAAGAGTACTAACAAAATTTTGTATGTCTCTTAAGAAATCTTATATTGGTTAAAAATATGAACCTTTACAAAGGAGAGGATTATTATTTTGTTGTATTTCTCATTTTTCAACCTCAAAACAAAAGATTTTTTTAACTTATACTTTTAAGATACAATTATTATATATTTTTAACATTAATTATATTTAAAATTGTACCATTATTATACCTTTTGACATTAATTTAGTGTTAAAAAAATAAATTTTTTTTAATCTGTATTTTTTAGACATAAGTTAAGAGTGTGATAAATATATTTTTTATCATAAATTTGTACTTAAAAGATAAAGTTGATTTTTAATTTATCAACTGTCTAATTAAATTTATTTACGTAATAATAATACTGAAATTAATATTAAATTTTATTTTTTTATATAAATTTATAAAAAAAAAATAGTTTTTAACCTGGCACAAGCTTAATAAAATCCAAATAAAAATTAACCTTCATTTAAAATGACTCCATAACATTAGCAATTAATGTGTTTTTTTTTATAATTACATTTATTAGATGTTTTCAACATCCTTATTGTAAATACATGCCCAAAAAATTCCAAAAGAAAAATTTTGTTTTTCCAATGAGCGGCACTTAGAACCGAAAATCTCTTTAACCAAAAGGTGAAATAGAATACCACTAAAATTAAGCTACCAGATTGGACGAGAGGAATAAGTAGTGGAATATCCTCTTTACCGTGAAAGCTGCCAGATTTTGACATCTTTACATGTTTTCCTACTAACTCCACGCTTTTTTTCTTAAAAAGTGTGCCCGGTCCCACTCACGTGCTTCGTTCTGCTTTCTCTCCTAACTCCAAGGATTAATCTCAGTCCTTGAACTCTTGTTGACAAAATAAACCCTCAATTTATCTTGTTTTGATCATAGAAATCAAGGATTATCAATTTTAGAATAATACATTTACCCTTAGAATTACTGCTATTATGATTAATAAAGCTATAACCAAAGATTATTAATTTTGATAGAATAAAATATTCACCCTTAAAATTACTATGATTATTAATAAAACTATTTCTTTTAAGTAAGTAAAGGGAGTGTCGCAGAAAACTTGTCTAGGCAAAGGGAGTGTCGCAGAAAACTTGTCTAGGCACTCACGCGAGTGAATAAATTAGTTGGGACTCTTTCAGTTTAACTAAAAATCTTGATTTCAGGTCCTAAGAATGCAGTTTTATTAAAATTTGTGAAGGAGGGTTTTGCTATCCGTTGGGTTCTACTCAGTTTGAATCCGAATTAATTAATGATCCAGTGAATTTTCGAATACTATATGATTCATACAAAAAAAAAAAAAAAAAAAGCTTGTCTAGGCGAGCTTAGCACTTAGATACCGCTTAAGTGGTAGATAATGCTCTACTGCCTTGCCTAGCCCTCGGCAATAGAGTTAGGAATTTCTTCTTTTTATTATTATTTTTTTTTGGATTTTCTATTCTATTTTGGCATTTTTTGTGAAAAAAATAGAACTACCTAATTAAAATGTTTAATAGTACTTAAAGAATGCCTAAGTACCACCAGGGCTAGGCATTGGTTGAACACCCACCATTGCCTAGTATTCCTTGCAACCTTGGGTAAAGATAATACAAATTCAATTATTAGGACACAATACATGAATCAAGAAAAATTTAGAAACAATCCATTACATTGATGCTCAGGCCCACAACTTAAGAATTATGGGATCTTAATCTCTAAATTATTAACTAATTGATATAAGACCTTATTGTCACTAGTTGATTTATAGAATTATTAATTTATTAAATATCTAACAAGTTCATTATCTAATAGTATTTTCCCAACTACACTAGTTCTCTAATAACGATCATTTTAATTATAGATATCACCAAGTGAGTGCTCCACTCAACTGGATCCTTAAGACTTTCTATTTAATTACATTTGTTTAATTAAAATTTAATAAATTAGTCGTTTTTGTCACTTATAAACAAGAGATTTAGTTTCATTTTACTCATGACATCCACCTAGTAAAAGGATGGCTTCTAAAACAAATTTCAATTAGTAAGGAGTTGATATTTCAATTTAGAAATCTCAAATAATCTCATTTTTGAATTTTAAGATAATTGATTGCCATGTGTGTAATAAAAAAAAAAAACTAATAGTAAAAAGGTGACAATTATGTTAGAATAAGGTGTTTACAAGAAATTATTTTACTTCTCATTACCTCCTTACTTTGGTCAATAATGGAAGGAAACATACTTACCAACTTTTTCAACACCTTTGGGTTCATTTAGGAGTTAAGAGTAAAAGTAATTAGCTGATAAAAAAATTATAAGAGCAATAAAGAGTTGCCTTGTTTAGGATTTGTTAATATGGATGTAATTTTAAATTTTAAATTTTAATTTTTTTTTTATATTTGGTAACTACTATTGTACTATATTTAAAAATCAATTTTTTTTATAAAAATTAAAATTTATTTAATTTAATCTAAATGTAGTAGTAATTATTAAATATATAAAAATCAAAATCAAAATCATACTATACTAAACGGAATTGTAATTAACCAAAATACTTTGAGGACTAGGTTTAAAAATTTTAGAAGTTTAAGGACCAAAATTAAAAACTAAAGTTTTAGGTCGGAAGGCCCATAAGAGAGGATTAGGTAACTTAGGGTATCTTCACTTATATTTATGGTCTAAGAGGGCCTGCAGACTCGTAGATTTAATTTTCTCCTCTGCTTTCTTTCTCCGACGCTGATTCTTCTGCTTCATTCATCACAGGTACGTCTCTTGATGCATTCGATTTCCGCCGTCGGATCCGTTTTGTGATCGGATCACACGGGGACAATGACTTTCTGGCTTTGTCTTCCTGGGTTTGTTGTTTTCCGTCTCTGATCTGTTCATAACTCATGAATCTTTCTTCTTTACCGGTTAGGCAAAGAGCAAAATGGGGAGCACTGCTTGGAAATTGGAAGACCACCCGAAACTGCCCAAGGGCAAGACCATCGGCCTTGTGGTTCTCGACGGTTGGGGTGAGTACAAGCCCGATCAGTATAACTGCATCCATGTCGCTGAGACTCCCGCCATGGACTCTCTCAAACAGGTTTAGACTTCTACCATCAGTTTTGTTTTCTTTCCTCTGTGTATTGTGATTTTTTTTGGGTTCTTTTTCTTCATGGATCTGTAGATGTTTGAAATCTGTTTTTCGTTAGGATTATGGTTTGTTTTTGTCCATATTCTTT